AGTTTCAAACTTATTTACAATGCCATCCCTCTTTACTTCCCTCTTTTCCCATCACTGCTGACATCACCTACTGCTCAAAGCCAATTTCTTTATCTAGGCCATGTAACCCTCCTCTTTTCCTGCCTCCAAATTGATGCTTCCACCAACCTCATTATTTCCTCTCTCTTTTCTTTCCCCCTCCTACTTCCCCTTCCCCCCCCTTCTCCCTCACTCTAATTCAATTTCTCCTCTCTATTGGTTATTTCTAGTCCCATAAGCAGGCCCAACACACTTTTGATTAAAAAAAAAAAGTCAAAGTTCTCTAAATCTCTAGCATCTTTCCCTTTCTATACACTCTTTCAGAGTCCTTTATTGAAAACACTGTATTTCTCTCAATTAGCTACCCTTCTAGCCACAATTTAGCTACAATTCACTTTTCACTGCCAACACATTACAATGTAGCTAACTTCTCTAGCTGAAATTACAGTTAAGACATCTTAATTACCACATCCCAGAGGTATTATTCAGTCCTTATCTTATTTGTCCTTTTCAAGGCAGGATACATTGTTGACTATTCCTAGTCCTTGAAATATTCCCCTTCCTCAGCTCCCCTAACAAATTCTTTGGAGTTTCCTTTTTTCATTTCTGTCTGGCACAGACTGCTAGCTTCTCTCCAGCTGCAGGCTCCATCTCCGTAGAAGCTCACAACACAAATACACAAATCAGATGGGCATGGTGGTGCACATCTGTAATCTCGGCATTCAGGAGGCCGAGGCAGGAGGACTGCCATGAGTTTGAGGCCAGCCTGGGCTACACTGTGAATTCAAGGACAGCCTGGACTACACAGCCTGTCTCAAAAAAGAAAAAAAGCAAAATAAGAATCATCCTAAATTTTCAATCCTTCCCAATTCTATAATCTGATTATTCCATCTTAATACTTCCTAAATCTCTTACACAGCCACTTCCCTCCTCTATATCCCTCATCATTTCTCATTAATAGCTTCCTAAGTACTCTTGCTTCTAGCTTTGCTCCTAATTTAGCGTTCACTTCTCTGCAAATAAGTCTGAAATCACAGCATGACGTTCTTTTCCACTAAAGCATTCAGAATGAACCTAAAACTCCTAAACTTGGCTCACAATCTGTGATGTGATTATTACTTCACTTGCCTTTATTCTAAAGCTGTGTGTCCACATGTGGCTATAGAACATCTGAAATGTGCTGATTTTGAAGATGCAGTATGAAAAAAAGGAATGTCAAGCATCTCAGTATTACAGTGTATATTGCCTGCATGAAGAAATTATAATAGTTTGCATACATTGGGTAAAACTGTATTATAAAAAATTTCATTCATTACTTTTAAAAATATGGTTTATCAAAAACATTTTGATTAGAAGACTTACATTTATGGTCTGTACTTCAATATGATAGCACTGGTGTAATATGTCCTATCTCTGTCTGAACCTAATTAACTCATTTATTATTCAAAAGTAGCCCAGGTAACCCAGTAAGATTCTAGAGCAGCCCCAGTTCCAAGAACCCAAGCCTACCCCTCCCTCTGTGCTTCCATTACTAGGAACCTGTGCACACACCTGTCATAAATCACACCACAATGAAATTGCTGGTTATCAGCTATCTTCTTAAGCTGTAGCTCCTTTAAAAAAGAGCTATCATTGTGCATATTCTTGGTCCTACCACCATGCCTAGTATTCAAAAGGCACACAAACATTTGTTGGACAAATGTGAACTACATAGTCCGAGCCTAAAAGTTAGAAGGGAAGAACCTAAACTTTACCAGGAGCTCTAGTAATAAAAGGACTGGGTGGCAGGGGGAGGTGGAGTGGAGAAGAGGAATCACAATAAAGAGATTGACAAATGAGAAAATAAAGCTCATCTCACACACACACACACACACACACACACCTGCCACTTACAGTGAGAACAGGGATTTGCCACAGTGGCATGAAGCCTTGAACTTACGGCTGGAATGTCAGGGGCCACAGTTCAGTTCCTAAATTGGTTAAACAACACATCCAACAACAACAAAAAGAAAGAGAAAGAGAGAGTATAATTTGGCAGGTTTTAACACAAATAGCTAGAGCCTAGCACCTGTTCCATTTAAACAGCACATTGTTGCTGTTAAAAACAACAAATCTCTCTTGTGAAGCCAATGTTAATCTCATGATGCTTCACCATAGAGCAATTTAGAAGAGTTATTGTATGAAATGTGCCAAAATATGAATTTACGGCTGATGCTTATTTGGCAAATATGGCTGGCACTGCTAGATGTCGAAAAGCATGTATGCAAATAAGCAAATAAAAGTTTTTAAGCTTGCAGCCTTAAATATTTACATTACCACAAATGTACAAAGATAAATGTTTATATGAGTACACATATTATGCATTTCAGGAACACATTTTTTTAATGTGATTGTCAGGAAACAGTTATGAAGTGGCATTATTTCTTTATGGGCTTCAAGATAGACTTTTTAAAATGAATTCTGACAGAATGTTAATGGGGTAAGAACATTACTGTGGAAGTTTCTCTGCACTATCACTGAGCAAAATGAATTGTCATAGTATCTGAATAGTTTAAAGCAATCTTATCTTTTCTTTTCACCAAAACACTTTTCTTCCATCTCTGGAATATAGCCAAACATCAGTGTCAGCCTTTAAACAAGGGGGAAGGGGAGGCCACACATGAAAAATCTTTCAAGAAGATTCTGACATTTCCTCCCACATAATATAGTCATATTAGTCTCTAAAGACATGATAAAAATATTTTTCTCTTCCCCTCTGTGAAGGGGATGTTTGTTTTTTCACATAGTTTGTGAGTTGGTCATTAGCCATAACTCAGTAGCAGTGGTATGAATTCTGCTTCCTTATGTTAATTTAAGCTCTACATTGAAGCTCTGAGCTCCCATCTTCGAAGCTAAGAAAATGTACCGCACCTGCCATTATAGTTTACTAAATAAGCCACCAAAGAGAAGGGCCAGGCATTTCGGGAAGTAATTAGGATAGTCAGTGAATTGAGCCATGCAGAAGCGCTCTGAGATTAGAGAAGGAGCCATCATGAAGTGAGGATTCAAGATTGAATTCACGGAAAGTTTTACCCCTGTGGATAATTCACTTTTTTTTTTTCACTTTCACACTGCAGGGAGCAATGTGAGCTCTCAGACTACATACATTACTACATCACTTCATTTATTAGAGGGGAAAAAAAAAAGACGCCGTGGCTGGGATTAAAAACCAAAAAAAACCCCAGCAGGTAGGCCCCAAAACAGAATCCTCAAATCAATTCCAATTCAGGTGAAATGCTGCTCACGAGCACTATCCAATGACCTAAAAATAGTCTTTTATGTAAGTCTCTTAAGTATTTAATTCAATGTATAACCTCGCCACATTCAACAGAGACAGAAGAAAAACGTATTAGGTTTTCTATAGTAAGGCCAATAAGGATGAAATCATAGTTTTCCTCTAACTCATCACCATCAACGCCAGCCTTCCAATAAACTCCATTCCACAGCTCTGATTCCTAAACTTGGATCTTAGAAAAACAACGGATTGCAGGAGTAGCATGGGATGGGGGGAGCTCGTCTTTCCTGTCGCTGTCAGCAGTCCTTCGCGGAATCGAAGGAGAAAAAGAAATTAGGCTTCCCGACGAAGGACGCAGACGGCGGGGAAGCTGGGTGGACGAGCTCCTCGCCAAGGGAGGAGAAAAAAGTTGCAAGGACGGATGCGTAGAAGGGCAAGAGGAGGGAACGGGGCCGCACCACTTAACCCCAGGACCCAGCCAGCACCCAGCCAGCCTGCACGGTGGAGACTCCGTCCCGACGCCGCCAGCGGGACTGCGCGGATCCCCCCGGCAAGGGAACAGGGAGACCGCATAGTCTCGACAGCAAGGAGAAGCCCTCCTGCCCCAGCCTCCCGCGCCAGCTTCAGGACTCACTCTCCCCGCGCC